TAGGTGTGTTTCACTTCAGCGGCCCAGTTTGTTTCCCAGGCGTGGACCCACACTACTCATCTGTCAGTGGCCAGGCTGTGGTGGTGGCTCATATACAAAAGAAGGAAGATTCGCAGTGGATGTTAGCTCAGGGTGAATCTTCCTCACCAAAAAAAAAACAACACAAAAAGAATGCAAGAGGAGAAGCCTAGCTCATTATATCTACCCTGATATTTCTGTTGTTTTTCTTCATTCCTGTTGTCCCCACTTTTCCTCTGGTATCATTTCCCTTCTGTCTAAAAAACTTCCTTTAACACCTGTTTTAGAGGAGGTCTGCTGACAAATTCGGTTTTCCGTCATCTGAAGCTGTCTTTTTCTCACCTTCATTCCTGAAGATTATTTTTGCTGGACGTAGAATTCTGAGTTGACAATTCTTTGCTTTCAGCACTTTAAAAATACTGTGTTGGTTTCTTCTGGCCTCTGGGGTTTCTGATGAGCAATCGACAGTCATTTGAGTGATAATTCTCCTGTAGGTGATACATCATTTTTCTCTTGCTAGTTTCCAGATTTTGTCTTTGTCTTTGGTTTCCCTAGTTCAATTATGATGTGTCTGGGCATAGATTTCTTTGGGTTTATCCTGCTTCAGTTTTGCTTAGCTTCTCTAATCAGTAGGTTTATATCTCTCACCTAATCTAGGAGTTTTCAACCATCATTTCTTCAACTATTTTTTTCTGCACTGTACTCTTTCTCCTGTCCTTCTGGGGCTCTGATATCACAATATTAGGTCTTCCGGGATTGTTCCATAGATTCTTGAGGCTCTGTTCATTTTTGGTAAATATTTTTCCCTCTCTTTTTTTCAGGTCGATAATATCCAGTAATCTATCTTCAAGTTTCCTAACTCTTCCCTATGTCACCTCCATTATGTTTGTGAGCTTATCCAATGAGTATTTTATGTCAATTATTGTCTATTTTATTTCTAAAATCTCCATTTAGTTCTTTGTATCTTCTATTTCTTTGCTGATGCTTTCTTTCCATTTATACCCCAGGGCAGAGGGAGAACACCCAAGAAAGGACAAACTTGGAAGGGATTTGGACTGCATTTTAGAAGTTCAGCCCGGCCCACCAGATAGCAGAGACGTCCTCTGGTTTGGTCAGGCTGGTCCAGCTTGCTGGACAACTAACAGGCCGCCTGCTAGAGTGCAGGTGGAAGACCAGCTGATCAACAGCTGATGGCACGGGCATGCAGTGGGAGTCCAGGTGCCAGCACAGGCAGGAGGCCTTCAGAGTGTGGACCACACAGGGACTTGCAGACAGCAGCTTGCTGTGTACATGGGCGGCCATGTGCAGGCCCCATGGAGGCTCGCAGAGAGAGTCCAAGTACTAGCATGGGCAGGAGGCCTTCAGAGCACACGGGCTACACGAGGCTCTGTTTTCTAGGTCAAGAGAGCTGCAGAAAGGTTATTGCCAGCCAAAGCTGTCAGGTTGCAAGAGGACTCCATTCTAGGCCTGTGGCTGGGGCAGGCTCCAAGAGATGTCCCACACTGCTGATCCCCTACCCACACTGGAAAAGGCAGGAAACCTCTTCCTACTACACTGTCCTCCCAGTACCCTCTAGTGAGAAAGTTTAATGTGGTGTTCACTTTAAAGGATGAATACTTTAGAGGAGTTCCATCGTCCATCATAGAGTTTATGCACTGAAGGGTGCATACAGAGCTGAGAGGCAGGAAGTTGATAACTGACACAGTAGGTGATCAATTGGTTTAGACCTCACATTCCAACCTGTCTTCTGTGGGTTGTGGTTCCCCTGTCAGATCAGTCTTCTATCTTAGCAGTGCTGCTCAGCTGTCCCATAGGTACCACTCAGCGGCCATCTGGGACGGGGATGATGGTCTATCTTGGTGTTCAGTTCTAACAGACATTGGCATGCTGGTTTGGGTCGGATCCATGCGTATGCAGCTCAGGCATGAGCCCAGAAGTTCATAAACAACCTTATGGGCTCTTCTCCCAAGCCCCTCCCTCTCCGTGATTGCCCTGGTTCTCTCCTGATTCCTGGGGCTCCCTTTTTCACTCCTCTGGCCAGAGAGCTGGGGCTTTAGTTACCCTGCTGAGCCGTGCACTTCCTCCAACTGCACCAGCGTCAGGGCCAAGCAGCAGCAAGACTATGAGAGGAAAAAAGCAATGAGAGTTTTCCCCACCCCCTGGGGACCACAGCTCCTCTGATCAGAAGGAAGGATCCCCGTCTCGAAGGTCTGGGTGACTGAGGAGCACCGCCACCAGCCTTCTCCCACCCCCGCCTCCGCTACTACTGCAGAATCTGCTGGGGGCTGAGGCCCAAGACGATGGAGAAAAGAAAAAGAAAAACAGGATGTACCCCCAGTCTCTGAGCATTAGGAGTCCCTATTTCACTGCTGGAGCAAAACTAGGTGCCCTGGTGCCCAGTTCTGGGTTTCGGGCTGCCTTGAGTCCAGGCTGGGAAATACTGGAGGGAAAAAATGTGCAACACAGCACAGGTTCTGTGGTGCTTTGAATTCAGGTGTCCTTCCCTTCTTCTCTCGCAATCGCTTACTTTTCAGAGGCTTCATATTGCTGCTCCGTGTGTCCTGTGCAGGTTTGCCAGCCCATCTAGTGTAAGAGGCGGGGTGGAGTGGGCCTACCCCATCTTACCCAGAACCGGAAATCTCTATGTTCAGTTTTTCTTTTACCATTTTCCTTACTCTGTTATCTGCAGCTCGGGAGCACCTAAGCTGCAAAGGTCTCAAGGCTGTGGCTTTTGACATAAAGCCTCCAGAAAGGAATGGCAAGATTCTTGAGCTTTTGCTTTCATCCTGAAAACAAGAGATTTAAGTCCATAGCCAGTGATGGAGAAAAATATTTTAAAAAGGAAAAATCAGGCAGCCTAGTTTCTTTGAGGAAATCTCTGCACATAATCCAAGTCTACATGCAAAGGCAAGCCAAAAAGCCAAAGTAAAGTGAAGTGTGTTTGAGCAGTGTAGACCGCCCAGTCAGCCGAGAATAATTACAGCGAGAACCGCTCACTGTGCAGGGTGTGCGCTCTGGATCAACCAGTCAGGGCTCAGATTCTGTTCTTGAGTTTCTTACATCTTCCTAGGCCAGTAAATCCTTGAGAAGTAACCAGATCTGTTCACTGACTGCCCCTGCGTTAAAAAAATCCTTGCTCGTTAATTTCTACGCATCGATGTGGAGAAACGTAATTCAAGTTCCCGTCTTAGAGGAATAGTCTCTTCTGAGGCCTTTGTGTTCTATTTTTAAATAGTGGGAAATCAATCTTAGTCTCAGTATTTTGGTGGGAAAGAGTATATCCTGTCTGTCATCTAATCACGTTGACCATTTCCCCTGTGTTTTGCAAAGCAGAGAAAGAGTTTCTATTCTTCAGTTAAGGGGGTTTTGAATGTGCCAGGATTTAAATCAGGGTCTTGCCCATAAGATTTTCTGTTTGCAAATGTGTGTAATAAAAACCGGTGACTCTAAGAACCCTAAGTGATGACTACGTTTGCTGGAGGTCTACACGTAACATCCAGAGATTCTGGGAAGCTAAGAAATACCAGCTCCTAAATGCCAGGTCCAGCCCAGCTGCTGGCATCCTGTGCAGGACAGGGCTGAGGGCCGGCCTCCCTAGACAACTGGACAGATTCGACCTTAACTCAGAAGATAGCAGCCCCCACTGGAGGGCACTGAGATCGGGAAAGTGGTTCTACAACAAGAGCCCACAAGTCATTCCAGACAGGTAGGAGACCCTCCATCCAGGAACAAAGTCACATTGAGGAGCAGAGAGGAGGCAGATGTCAGGGACAGACACAGGCGCCAGTCACTTAGCAGCTTGGGGGAGAGAAGGTCCCTTGGCAAATTTACAAAGCTAATCTCTACTTTGTATGACAAACTCCGGTCAACACGGTCTTTCAGGCAAATATATAAAATGTAATTTCCTAAGCATTAACTTTCTGCAGAACTATAGAAATATCACGTGTATACTACACCGAAGAAGAAAAGAGAAAATTTCACCTCTACAAGATCCAGTCTAGAGACCCTCAGTACAAATAAAGCAATACCCTCTTAGAGAAAACTCTACACTGAGTAGCCTCTCCTGAGGCCCCCTGAGAATGCAGAGCTTCAGTCTGGGTCCTCCCTGAATTTGACAGCAAAGGTCCCTGGTTCCAAGGTGACAGCTGATTCCAGCTCCCTGCTGGAGATCTGGCTTTGCATGGTAATGGCAGAATCATGAGAACAGCCTCTAGATGTGGATGCGCTACCCACAGCCACAGAGCATCTCCCAGAGGAGAAAACAGGGGGACTAGGAGAGGGGAGAACGATGACGTCGCTCACTGCGACAGAAAGGACGCTGGCCAGAGTGTCCTCAGGCTCCTTCCTCTCCAGTGCTTCGTGTTCCAGGTCCTAAGGGAAAATGTCAACAATCAGAGACCCTCAAGGGTTGGATTCACAGTGGAAACGAAAATTCCTCCTGGAAAAACCTTTTGCTTTCCTGCAGGGGTCAGCAAACTTTTTCAGTAAAGGGTAAGATGGTAAATATTTTAGGCCTCAGGTGGAAGGTATTCTGTGGGTACTTATATAACAAAAGAGAAAACTCCCCTGTATATATACATATATACACACCCCACATCCGTGCTTGCCTGCGATGGGCCTGCAAGCAGCGAGCACACTTCAGCTTCGTGCCCAGCTGCCCCCTGCTGGAGACATTCTCAAGAGCGACTAGCCCAGGAGGGAACGGCCTGGCGGGCCGGAGCGCAGAGGGGCAGGTAGGTCAGGGGGACCTGCTGCAGTCACTTTGGCTCTCTGCCCCTGTCTGACGCCCAGATGCCTGTGTGTCCCCTTCTCCCAGTCATCTCAGGCTGGGCAGCCAGCTGGAGGCTAGGTGATTTACGAAGTCACCAACTCCTGGGCAGAGATTCTATTGCTTGGCGCCTGGCAGTTGCTGACAGCAGAGTCTCCAACGTGCGGATGGCAACCAGCGTGGCCCTTGGGCCAGGTAGACAGGTAGAGGGGGAATAGGGACAGAGCGCATACTCCAGCTTGTTCTCACGGCTCGCAATGCCAGCCTGCTCCAGCAGTGCCCATGTGCCATACAAAAACACTGCCAGTCCCGTGGGTTATAGTTTGCTGATCTCAGCCTTATTGAACAATAATGTATAAAATATTTTGCTTTGATGGATGTGATGGCTTTAAATTACAGCCACAAATTCCTTGAGAGTCTTCCCTTTAAACAGGTAGAGCTTAATTCCTCTCGGCTTGAGCATGGCTGGACTTAGTGACTCACTCCTAATGAGGGAATGTGGTGAGTGATCGTGTGTGACTTCTGAGACTAAGTCCTACCAGGCATTGCTCTCTCTCGGGTCACTCATTCTGGGGGAAGTCAGCCACCATATCATGAGGATGCTCCAGGCCCAGCCCAGCCTTCAGATGCCTGTGGCCCTGGCCAACGTCTTGACCGCAGCTTTATGAGAGACCCTGAGCCAGAACCACTCGGCTAAGCCACTCCAGATTTCTGACCCTCAGCAACCGTGAGATAATAAATGTTTGTTGTTTTAAGCTGTTATGTGTTGGGGCGACTTGTTATGCAGCAATAAATAACATTCAGTGGACAGTAAAACAAGAGGCACTTATAAAAATCAGCCTTATTTTATAGGGACATCTGGTGTCTATATCCAGCTGCTTTCTTCACATACCCACTTGGATGTCTCACACACATCTCAAAGAAGCATGATTCCCTCCAAACCTACTCACTGAGAATCCATCCGTCTGGGCTGCGTTAATGCTTTCTGTTTCCTCACTCTGCCACCCGCTAGGCAGATATGCAGACACACACACGCTCATTCACACATCTAATTGATCACCTAAGTCTCAAAGGGCACGTGTTCCTCACCACCAATCAGTGTCACCTCTGGCCTCAGTTGTACAAAAGCCTCAGAGCTGGGCTCCTGACTTGCCACTCAGCACAACCAATCCATGTGCCACACAACCGTGAGTCACTTTCCAACAAGAACTAGATCACGCTGCCACCTAGCTCAAGTCCTCCAGAGACTTCCCTTTGGAACGAGACGGGGAAGCCAGCTCCTCACAGGGCCCAATAAGACCCTGGCAGGGTCTGCCCCTGGCCGGCCTCTCCCACTCACCCTGCCGCTCTCCTCCTCAGTGCTTCTCCGCCGGCTCTTCCTCCCACCTCAGACTCTGCACATGCTGCTCCCTCTGCCTACACGCTCTTCCCGCGTCCATGTGGCTTCCTCCCACACCCCGTCAGTGTGGCCTCCCGGCCCCCTCATCTAAGGTAGGTCCCCCTGTTATTTTCCCTCTCTGACTCTTGCTTATTTACTTCACAGCACATAACACAAGTTGAATTATTTGATCATTTGTTTAGTCATATGTTATCTGACTGTGGGCTGAGCTGAAGGAGAGCCAAGCTTACTGACAGGAGGAGCAGCCACCTGAGAGCCCCCAGACTTGGGCTCAGAGCCTGGCCTCCTCAAGTCAGCCATGCATCTCTGAGCAGTCACCCAGTAACAGACGTTAGGGACTGGAGGGGACACAAGCGCTACAGATGTCAGGCTTCTGCTTCTGAACGTCAACACACAAACCCTGTGTATTAAGCCAGTTTATTTGGTGTGTGTTTGTTCTTTGAGCTTGGGAACCCTAAATAACTGACATTTACGGGACTCATCAAATGCAGAAAGGTGACCGGCCTTGCCTCCGAGGTCTCACTCTAGAGGAGAACAGATGCTTAAAGGGATACATTTCAATGCCGCGTGTGGATTTGACAACAGAGGCTGAGCGAGCTGCCGTGGGAGCCAGAAGAGGAGAGGGGCCCTCCAGTGTGTGTGGGGTGGGGGTGCGGGAGGGGATGGTCCCGCCAGGAGGGTGGGGAAAGGGAAAGGACCATCCATTTGGCTGAATAATTTTCCGTGCTCCCTCCCCAGCCCAGGTATATCAAAACCACCTTACAGAACCCTCTGCGATCCTGAGCCAGAGGGCATGACTGGAAAAACATGTTCCCTGGCACCAGGGCACTAGTCTCCACTCCGAAGTCATGTGCCAGGGTTCCAGGTGGGAGGGGGGACTATCTGGTCACCTAGTCCGCTGCCTTCTTGTCAAATGACAGACTGGGCTGGGGTTTGGGGGTTGGATACAGAGCCAATCTCTCAGAGAATCTGAGGGGAAAGGATCTGGGGGAGACTGGGAGGAGACCCCACAGAGTCCACAGTACAGGTGCCCAGCTGTCCTCGGTGCTCCCTCTGCGAGGCTGGGAGAGGGACAGCAGCAAGGGGGAGGTGGGGAGAGTGAATGGAGCTGGTGTCAGGTCACCTGAACCAGTCGTGGGGAGAGGCCTGCCTCCCCTCCTTCCCACCTGCCCCTCAGAGCCCCCGGACCCCTCTGCCCTGGGACAGACCAGCTCCATGCCTCCCTTCCTCAGCATCCTTCCTGGTGTATCCACCTTGTGAAGAAGATACTTATTATCAGCCTTGTGGATCCAAGGGAATGACTAATCAACAGGAGTTTCTGGTGACACTAAGGTACAGTGGGGGCAATAACATGGCAGACAGGGGCCTTTAGTGATGCACAAACTCCACTCTGTCCTCACATAAGGCCACCTGGCCCCCAGAGCTGGAATACAGAGTGAGTTTTCTGATAGAAACAGTGGGGTAAATAGGGACTAAATATTCAAGTGAGGTCAGTATAGTCACCATATTTCAGCCAAATTCTGAATTAAATTACATTTTATGTCACAAGGTCAGCATTTCCCTGGGGACGCCCATTATTTTCATGGTAATTTGTGAAACTAGAAAATCCAGCCAGAGGAGGCAGAGGTGACAGATAGGGTTAAGAGGACAGTCTCAGAGTCAGCCTGCCTGGGCTGGAGTCCTGCCTCCCCCGATACTGCTGCACGTCCCTGAGGCCATTACCAAACCTCTCTGATCCTCCTCCGTGTTCTCATCTGGACACGGGTGTAACAAGCCAATGGGCTCACAGGACTGGAGAGAGGATCACGTGTGATAATTTGTATCAAGTGCTTAAGAGAGTACTTGGCACCCAGTAAAGCTCAAAAAACTGTCAGTTATTTAAAGAAAAAAGGAAAAGAAACTAAGACAGACTCATTGTCACCAATTAAATGTAAGATAAAAACAAAAGGTACAGGAGCACCTGAGGATTTTTCCCCACCAGGCGCAGTTTGCAGAGGTTCTTTGGGAGAACACCCCAGCCCTGGGGTTATGGGAGAGGATCTGGTCCAGCAGAGGAGCTGCCAGCAAGGTAGCGCTGCTTACAGAGCCGGACAATTCTCCCCGGGGTCTCCAATCACCTCTCCACCCTCACCCCCACGCCAGGGGGCGGGGGACAGTCTCTGAGGAAAGACGTGCCCGGCCAGATGTCAATCATCCCTCTCAGGGCACTGAAGAGGACACAAACAAAATTGATTTATCTCCCCTGGACAGCACTTTGGACCAGAAAGTTTGAGCTCAGCCTTGGGCACCAGGGCAGGACGCGGGGAGTAATTCGCTAACCAGGAGCGGAGTCGTGCGGACCCTGCCACCCCAGCAGCCCCCCTGCGACGATCTACTGGCCCCCACTCTCCCCCTTCAATCCCAGTTCTTGCCCTAAAATGCAGATAAATGCGTGTTTACCCTCAGGCCCGTGTTCCGTTGGGGATGTTCACCCCTTTCACGCCATGGCACAGCGGGAACCACATCAATAAGGAGCGCACTGGTCCCCATCCTCCTGGCAGGTGCCACACGCCCCACCCTCGCGCTCCCCGTAGTCTCCCCGCCCCCGCCCCCTCCCAGTTTCAGGAGCAGCTGCTCACTGGGCGCCCACACCCTGTCCCCGACGGCCACCTACCACGACTGCGCTCAGCCCCAAGCCCCTGCCCGCTGCCTGCCGAGCGGAGCGGAATCCCGGCGGCCGAGCCTGTTTACACCCGCAGCGGCCACACACTGGAGCCGGAAGCGCTCCAGCTGCCGGAGCGTCCCGGCCTGTGCGCTAACAGGCTATATTTGTAAGCTGATAACATGATCTGCAGGCCATGTGCTGATAAACTATCTATCTATTCTATGTGACTCAGCCCGGCATGAGACAAAACGGATTTCGTGGAGGAGGGCTTGGCACAGAGCGAGCAAACGACGAGTGGGCTAATTTGAGCCCTATAACCCAGGACTGTCTGCACCTCCCGTACAGATGGCCTGGCTTTTTTTACGTTGCAAATCCTGAAGTGTGTTAAATAAACAGGCTAGAGAAGGGAAAGGGTTCCGTTTTCTTAACCCTTTAAGCTGGGAAGCAAACAAAAAGCAAGATAAGAAAACCCTAAGACCAAGGAATGTGAAATATTTTTCAGTGTTTGAAGCAACAGATGTCAAAAGTCTTGATTTCATCCTTATATTTTTTTCTTTTTCATTTCCTGAAACCTATGTGAGTTTAGGTTCTCTTTAGAGATTTCCCTAATTGGAAAAATATGTTTTGCTGATACTCAACACTGTGACAATTTGACAATCAGTTAATAGTGTGGAGTCCACACAACCCCTCTGTGCCTTTTCACAGCAGTGGCTCCTCACACACCTTCGCCCTGAAACAGAAAAACGTGGTGTCTAATAGATACATAATAACTCTAATTACAAAATCGCCTGATTTTGAAAGGACTGACTATTTTCTATTTGTTGACGTTTATAATTGAATTGTCATTCTAAATTGTATACTAAGTTGGTTGGGGCCCAGATAAATGTTTGTGACTATATTAAATCAGAACTCTAACGTGTTGGATGGGCTTTTTATTGCTTAGCATCGAATTTTTATATTATTTTTCTCTTTTGATAAATAATGTAAGTTACGTATTTAGTACTTCATGTTTGCTTTGGTTCTTGTTTGTTGTGGCATTCTGAACCAAAGAATATAAATTGAAAAAGCACTTTCAGTGCAGATCCTACTTAAATGCTATTTCAATTTCTAAGAGAGCTAAATATTCAAAAGCTTAATCATATGTAAGTGGAAAAAATATTTTTTTTCCCCACGAATGCATTCAAAACACAGTGGGACACCTTTATGATGCTCATGTCAGAGGAGCAGGGCTGGGAATATAGCCCAGGCTTCTCAGACTATAACGTGGACCCAAATAGGATTGAGAAATCTAGCAAATAAAATACCTTCAGTTACTTTCGAATTTCGGATAAACAACAAACAATTTTTTAATATAAGTATGTCAAATATTGCATGAGTCATATTTATACTAAAAAATTATTTGTAGTTTATCTTAAATTTACATATAACTGCGTGCCTTGTGTTTTATCTGGCAATCCTTCACCCAAACCACCAGGATCTTACTAAAATGCAGAGGCCACACAGGAGGCCACAGAGGCGCTGAGAGTCTGTATTTCTAACAAGCTCAAGGTGATGCCAAAGCTGCTGGTCCAGGGAAACACCACGAGTGGCAAGAATCTGGAATAAGCGCAGTCTGGTGCAGTGGTACCCAGGACTGGTTCCTCACTGGCATGGCCTGGGTGGACCCCTCTTCCCTAGGAAGTTCTGACTCAGTAAGTCTGGGGTGGGGTCCAGTGGTTCATATTTTCAGCATACTCTACAGTTGCTTCTGATTCACAGGCAGGAATATGAACCAAGAAGTATTTTAAAATACAAAATGTACTTTTTTTGGTGAGGAAGATTGGCCCTGAGCTAACATCTGTGCCAATCTTCCTCTATTATGTATGTGGGATGCCGCCACAGCATGGCTTGATGAGCGGTGTGTAGATCCGTGCCTGGGATCTGAACCCAAGAACCCCAGGCCACCAAAGTGGAGCATGTGAACTTGACCACTATGTCACCAGGCCAGTCCCTACAAAATGCACTTTTGCTCACACAAGGAATTGTTATTATCGTATTAAACTCACTGTGTGTGCAGATTGCTGCATCTCTGGGCTAAGAGTATCCAGAAAGACCTTTCAGTTTCTGAGCTCTCAAGGGGCAGCAGGTAGAACTGTGCTCTGTAGTCTTCACTTCCTGGTGTCCCCTTGCAGCTGGAAGCAGCCCAATTCATACACAGCCTTATTATTACCAACGCCAGCTGTGTTCTCAGAGCTGAATACTTTTTATGCAGTTCAGCTCCAGTTGGGTTTGTAGCCTCTCATGAAATGCAGTCCACAGACCACAGCTTCAGCTTCTCCATGGGGAGGCGTACATATTTGCCTCATATCCAAGAGGGTTCCACACACAAGCTCACCCAGACATCCCTGGGGGACCGAATGCTTTCCTCACAGCCATTCTAAATCTAGGACTCCTGTTGGAACACTGAGT